TGTGAGACTGCGTGTACAACTGAGACTCGTGTGCAGACGTGTGATGAGATGCGGGCAGACAACGTGCAGCACGCTGTGGAGACATGTTGCAGACAACGCTGAGACGCATGTAGAGCCATGTTGAGATGTGGTGAGACCGCTCCCTTGTGCGTGACAACGTGAGACACGTGTGAAGACGCCGTGTGACAACGTATACGCCGTCTGAGATGTGTGTGAGACGCGTGCTGACAACGTGAGATGTGTGAGACCGTGTGACAACGTGAGACGCGGCTGAAGATGTACGTGTAGGACGCGTGCTGACAACGCTGCAATGTGTGCAGACTGCGTGTGAGATGTGTGTCGAGACGCATTGTGACAAACGTAAGACGCTGTGAGATGCGTGTGGACAACGTAAGACGCTTAGTGAGATGTGTGGGAGTATGCATGTGACCAACGTAAGACGCGTTGAGATGCGTGTGACAACGTGAGACGCGCTGTGAGATGTGTGTGAAACGCCGCTGTGACAACGTGATACGCGCTGTAGCGATCGGTGTGAGACGCGTGTGACAACGTGAAACGTGTGTCGAGACCGCCGTGTGTGCACAAAACGTGAGACGCGTGCTGAACAACGCCGTCGTGGACAACGCCGCAGACGCGCTTGTGAGATGCAGTCGTTGAAACCGCTCGTGGAGACAACCGTGAGACGTCGTTCGTATGCGACGACGTGCAGACGTGTGTGAGACAACCGTGGAGACGTTGTGAGACAACGTGCAGACGCCGTGTTGAGACAACGCGAGACGCTGGTGAGCACAATCTGCAGACGTATGTTGTGCAGACAACGCTGAGACGCGTGTGCCACGACAACGCGGCAGACGTGTCTGCGCACGACTGTTGCGAGCACGCTGTGTGCAGACAACGTGCAGACTGTGTGAGACAACGTTGAGACAGCGTTTGAGACAACGCGGCAGACGTGTGCTTCGAGACAATGTGAGACGTGTGTAGACAACGTTTGAGACGCGTCCGCTGAGACAACGTGAGATGCCGTGAGACAACGCTGGGAGACGTGTGTGCAGACAACGTGAGACGACGTGAACTGTTGTGCTGCGACGACGTGAGACGCTGTGTGAACAACGTGAACGTGTGTGAAACAACGTGAGACTGCGCGTGAGACAACGTCTGAGACGTGTGGGAGAAAACGCTGAGATGCACGTGCTGTGAAGACGACGTAGACCGCCTGCCCCCCCACCGTTCCATCTCCCCAGCCACCCCCTCGCGTGAGACAACGTGAGACGTGTGTGCAGCACAACGGAGACGCGATGTGGAGACAACGCCAGACCGCTTTCACGTTGTGAGACAACGTGGAGACGTGTGCAGACAACGGGCAGGACGTCTGTGCAGACAACGTGAGACGGGGGCCTGAGCACAACGTGAGACGTGTGAGACCAAGCGTGAGGCATGTGTGAGACAATGTGAGACGTCGTGGGGAGACCAACGTGAGACGTGTGAGCACAACGTGAAGGCACGTGCGTAAACAATGCGAGACGCCGTGTTGAGACAATGTGAGACGTGGTGTCCAGACAACGTGAGACGGCGTCTCACACGCGTCTCGCACGCGTCTCACATTGTCACACGCGTCTCACACACATCTCACACGCGTCTCACGTTGTCTCACACACATCTCACACGCGTCTCACGTTGTCTCACACGCATCTCACACACATCTCACACGCGTTTCGCGTTGTCACACGCGTCTCACACACGTCTCACATGCGTCTCACACGTCTCGCACGCGTCTCACGTTGTCACACGCGTCTCAAACACATCTCACACGCGTCTCACGTTGTCTCACACGCGTCTCACACACATCTCACACGCGTTTCGCGTTGTCACACGCGTCTCACACACGTCTCACACGCGTCTCACACGTGTCTCACATGCGTCTCACGTTGTCACACGCGTCTCACACACATCTCACACACGTCTCACACGCGTCTCACGTTGTCACATGCGTCTCACACACGTCTCACACACGTCTCACACGCGTCTCTCGCGTCTCGTCAGGTGATGCGCATTGTTGAGAACACGCGGCCGGACCGGCAGACTGTCATGTTCAGCGCGACGTTCCCGCGACCGATGGAGGCTCTCGCTCGCAAGGTGCTCAACAAACCAGTGGAGGTGCAGGTGGGAGGACGCAGCATCGTCGCCAAGGAGGTCGACCAGAAAGTGGTGAGCAGGGCCATAATAAAAATATTGTTTGTTTGCCCTCACCCGACCGACCCGCCAAAAAGGGGGGAAGATTTATAGTGATCTTTCCCACTCTTTTTTTTTTTACAAATTGTATCACTGTACATTATATAAATCTGTTGGCAATACATTATATGTACCAAGCAAAACAAACATTCAACATAAAAGGTATCTCCACACAAGCCCACCCGAGCATGTAGACATGCTGAATTTGTAAAAAGACCCCCTCAAAAAAAAATGAAAAAAGCCTACCTACCTACCCAAACTTTTCAGCTTGGGTCGGGTGAGGGCAAACAAATTTTTTTTTAATTGTGGCCCCGGCTTTGTCTTTTCACGGAGCCGATCGGCCCAAGCCACCCGTAAACAACCCCATCTCCGGTAAACCGGTTAAGTCCACGGGCCTTTTTTTCTGTGTCCGTCAAATTTGGAGATTTTAAAGCTTTTATTACGTAATTCATCAGTTTAAAAAATCGGCCCCGTCGAGTAGATGACGGGGCCTTTTTTTCAGGCCCCGTAGTTTTCTCAGACGGCGAAGCCTGGGTGAGAGAACCCTGCTGTGGTGAAGCGGGTGTAGAGGAGGGGGAGAAGGGAGAGGAGGAAGGGCAGGGTATGGAAGGTGCTTATTAAACACTTGGAGGTGCAAGCGGGTGCACCAGGGTAAGATATACACAGGAGCGATGAGCGATTCGCTCTTCAAACCTCCGAAATCGCTCCCGTGAGGCTCAAAATAGCTCCCCTAAAACTTTTGACGAGAGCTCTTTTTTCCACAGACTTGAAAAAGAGCTCCCGTGAAAAAAACGTAATTTTTTTTCTGGGGTGCACCCAACGGGGTGCAATTTTCCCACATGGCTGGGGTGGGACAAACAGATGGCCATATTTCTGGGACAGCAGTGGGGGAGAGGAGTGAGGGAGGATGCCTGTGACAGATGTTGGGAAGTAGAGTGGACGTTGTTGATTCATCTTCTATGCTACTGCAGCGTTGTAGTTACACCAGAGTATTTAGAATGAATAATTTAGAGTTAGAAATAATCAAAGTCAAAGCATATAATTTGTTTACCGTTACAATCCCTTACCTACCGTTGCGCATTTCTACAGGCGCGTGTGTGCGGTGGTGGGTCGCATGGAGGTTAAACGTGCCTGTGCCCTCACCGCGCAGGGCAGTGCTAATGAGGTGTTGGGGTGTTGTCACTCGCACGGCTCTCTCATGTGGCACTGTAATACGTCACAACATAAGGTTGCGCGACAGAGCATGAGTCACGCTGGTCGCCGATCCAAACTGGTCACAACTGGTTTAGCCTGGGGGTATGGCAGGAGCGACCTAGATGGAGGAGAAAGGAAGATTCGAGAGAGAAGGCAGCGTGTGGCACTGGCGTGCGGTTGACTTTGTGTATGTCGTATCGTATGTATTAGAATAAAGTCGTCAATAATATACACGACGTCTTCGACCGTCACTGTCTACGAGCAATTACGGACGTGTAGGAGTGGCGTATCGATAACCAACCTGATGCTGCGTTTACACTATCGATTTTTGTCAGCAAATCGTACCGATTTCAAGTGCATTCCAACACAATCGGCTGAAATTC